CCAGGTATTACAAATTTAAATCTTCATTATGTAGAAGATTTTTTCCTGTTGGAATATCACTTGTGAATTGTCCCACATTGATTTGATAGGGTAAATGAGTCTAGTTTATAAGCTTACTAGGCTACTCCTCCCATCACCAGTTGGTTTTGGGATGGAACCTCACTATGGTGCAACTAGGTTCACTCTCTTATGGTGCGCTTCACTGTGTGAGACCGCACCCTTGATGTCCCGATTATCAAAAAAAAATTTGACATTCCCGCAAGTGTATTGTACTAGTTTGATTTTGGTTAGTTTGGTTTGACATGGTGTAATAAATTGCGGTTTAGTACGGCAGATATGTTAATATGAAAGGCAAATGCATTCCACTACGGCAGATATGTTAATATGAAAGGCAAATGCATTCCACGTGGATAATGAAATCGTTAAATCTCTTAATCATGTCTATCAGTGTATGTGTGCAGTGTTTTTGCTATGGAAATGGGGAATGGCCATGAATTCAAGTTGACTATTGTATTTGTGCATCAAAAGTCAGTGATGGTCATAGATAATGACTTGTGGTAATTAGAGTTTTGGGGTGAAGTTAGAGAGTTGGGGTGACTTGGAGTTTTAATCCGAATCCCCAGTTTTAATTTTATTGTTAAGCAGCGGTTTTATAAAGCTTGTGAATTCAAAGGCTAATTCAAAAAATTCAACATATGACCTTTTTTGGAATAGCCAAGATAATGTTAGTTGTGCATATCAAACAATTAGTTATTTGCTAAAGTACTAGGTGTTTTTGTCTTTTCATGTCGTACTTAAGATGCCAATGTGTCTAAGCCATTCTTCAACATTAGTCTTTTCATGGTGTACTCACGATGCCAATGTGCCCAAGCCATTCTTCGACATTACAGTCTGAAAGGGAAGCACACTTTTTTGTGGCATAAAATATCCTACATATCGTCATCAACTAAAAAATCTTAAAGGGAATCGCACCATAATAAGTCCCAAAATTCCAAATAAAGGGTAGGGCAGGAGAAGAATTAAAAGAAGCAGAACTAAGTGGTGTACCTATATTGACTTGTAGTAGGAATGTAAACAAGTTAAGCCTGAGCTCTTGATACTCAAGCTCGGATTTTTAAAGAATCGAGCCGAGCTGAGCATCGGAAAGATCGAATTTTTAAAGAGTTGAGCCGAGCTGAGCTTCAGAGAGGTCCTCATGAGATCCCACAACTCGTAAGATATCCCATACATTTGGTGTTGGTGTTAAATTGCCTTACTAATTCGAGATAAGCTTAGCGAAATCACAAGAGCCCACGTGATCGCTTCTGAAGAGAGAAAGAGAGTAATTCAATAAGCAGATAGAATACCACTCCAATTATCGAACATGTTGAGATAACCAAGCGGCCAAAAACCTCTCTACTAAATCTTCATGTCCCTGCCAAAAAGGTCTCACCAAGTCTACACACTGTTAGTCTAAAGGACGAGGCTTCATCCTTATTAGCAACCTATATATGACTAGTCTTCTCTCATATATAGCTACTCTCTTCTCAGGGAATGATAACCATAGTTCAAGAGGTGGTGGACAAAAATCACTATGAGTGTATAAGGATAACCAATGACACTTTTATCGCGCGGGAAAAGACAAGGAAGAGTTGGTGGATATAATGCGAAAGTTGGCTCCTCGCAATATGAAAGTGTTAGACACTCAATACAATATTAGCGATTCGAGCATGATGAGTCTTATTAAGCCAAGTCGAATCTTAACGAGTTGTGCAATAGAAAATTAAATAATATTCCATTTTTCAAGATGAGCTTCAAACGAGCCTGAGTTATGGTCGTTTATCAAATGAACCAAATCGAGCTCGAACCTTAACAAGTCGAGCCAAATCGAATTCACGAATGACTTTTTCCATGTAACTGCTATTACATGAAGCACGCAGTCCGATTCGCATTTCCAACTCTCCTTGTTGTGGCCTTATTATTTTTTAGGAAATTAGAAGGGTAATGTATATAGTTTAGGAAATTAGGAGACTAAAAACTTGGCTTAAAGACGTATCTATGCTTCTATAAAAGTTTTTTTTCCAAAAGATGATCCTTTTAAAACTAAAGACGTATATAATGTTCTGATAAAGTTTTTTTTTTCCCAAAAAACGAGCATTTAACAATTCCGATTGTTTTCAATGATTGCTTGCCTTTTCTCTTTCAATTCCCACTTCTTCGTCTGTATATATTTTTAGATTGTTTTAAGTTTATCACATTACCTCTAAAATTTATTTAAAATTATTTTAACTCTTGATTATGTTAAGTTTATTATCAGTATTTTTACTAAATCATTAAAAAAAATATATCGACGCAAAAAATTAAAATTTATCTTAAGTTTAAGTTTATCACATTATTACCTCTAAAATTTATTTAAAACTATTTTAAAACTCTTGATTATCTTAAGTTTATTATCAATTTTTTTTACTAAATCATAAAAAAAAAATCGAGTGCAAACAAAAAAATATAAAATTAATATAAACTATAAATAAGATAAAAAAAAAAAACAATTAACAACCGTAATCAAAATTAATCTTAGGAAACAATTAACAGTCACCTCCTCCTCCAAAGAGTTGAGAAAAGTTATCTGCGTTGAACTCATCGGGACTCAAGATCCGACCAAATTTCCCAGTCATAGCAATAATTTCAAAGTCATTGTTTCAAATACCAAAGAAAAATTGAGCAGAAATTAAAATTAAATCTCAGCAACTTATAGATCTAAAGATCAATCAAATGAAACTTAAAAAAAAAAAAATAATAATAATAATTTCAAGCATAAGGCCAGAACTCCGGAAGCAATAGAAGCGAGAAGAGTTTCATCTGTTCTGATACACAACCAATTACCGTTCTTCGTCTTCTAACCGGTGGCTTAAGGAAGTTTTTGGATCCTTGTTGGCAAAAGAGCACAGCTGCTAAAACATCGGGGGAAATCCGACAACAACAAATCAAATTTTGCTAAACCCTAAATAAATCTTTTGATGGGTCAGATCTGCGTCCCCGGAGCTACATGTCCGCCTCCCTGATTTCTTCGATCGACATCGCCGTGCAAAGATTGCGCAACCGCCTCGGGGAATCTGTCGGCTTCCCGGACATTTTCACCCCCATTGGATTCGGGTCGGTCTTGGGAGCTCTCTGCACCTTCAGATCCGATAGGGAGGGTAATCGCTTCTCACTTCTTCGACTTGAGCGAGTACGACGGCGGCGATTTGGCCGCGTCCATGGCTGGACCACACCACACAATCGGACGCGAAGTGTGTATGTGTCTGCGAGAAGGCAAACAAAGAGAGAAATTATGATAAAACCAAACTCTCGTTCAAGTGGACAGGAAAGTTTAATTTGATAATAAAAATAATTATCTCGTTATTAAGGAAAAAAACTTCGGGGTTGTGCACCAGCTAATTATCTCTAAAAACTTTATGCAATTTTCTCAAACTTTATTTCCCTTTACGTGAGGGGGAAATTTTATAACTACCTCCCTTTAACTTTGATATTCCACAACAGATACCACCCATACACAATACCAAATATACTTCAAATTAGTATTCGACACTGTGCAATTGCACAGATGTAAATAAAATTAAATATTATAAGTTATATATATATAATATAAAAATTATAAATTATATAATTATATTATATTTCATACATATAGTATTATAAGTTATATTTATGTATATAATATTAAAATTATAAATTTTATAATAGTATTATATTTTAAAATTTGATCATTGGTTAAAAGAAATAGTACACACGATTTGATTGTATACGAATCACTATATTAATTGTATAAAATGTAATAAATATATATTTTCTATAATTTTGAGTGATCATGACCAATTAATTAGCTGAAAAATATTACATTTATTATAACAATTGCTTATGTGATTTTAAGAAATTTTACTATGACATAAAAAAAATTAATTTATTAATAAACAACATCTTCATCATATAAAAAAATATTGATTTTAGTGTAAAATATAATTTTATGTAACTTTCATATATTATTTAGTATAAAATATAATTACTAATTTTAAAATTAACTATTATATTATTCAATAAAAAATATAATTATTAATCAATTAACATAAAATATAATGATTTTTGTCTTAATTAACCTAAAAAAATGTAATGAAATTTTTTCTTATTAATGAGATTGGGTGTATTAATGTCACATAAATAAAATTTATTAGGTTTTATTAATGATTTGCCACATAGGTAAAATTTATTAGGTTTTATTTATTAGGTAAAATTTATTGCTTAGNATTTCATATATTTGTTGAAAAACTTAATTTTGAATCATTTTATTGTTAATTGAAAGTTGTTTTCATGTTGTTTGACAGATGTTATACTATTGTTTCATAGTTACTTCATTGTTGTTAATTGAAAGTTGTTTTCATGTTGTTTGACAAATGTTATAGTATCGTTTTATGATTACTTTAATTGATCCATTGCCTATCTATATCTATATATATCTGAAAAGGTTGATGTAAAAATCCTTTTCTAGAAACCTAAAAATAGTTGAGTTGACTTTTGACTTTCTATTCATGTATTCTACTTTAATTAAGCAAATGGATATTCTCCTTAATAATGGTGATATTTCCGTTAATTAAGCATGTGAAATTGATTGTCCGTAGCAAAAATCATGGGACTTACTATCTATCCAAATACAATCCATAATTATCTTATCACTTTTGGTTAATAAAAAATATGTGAAATTGATTGTCCGTTGCAAAAATCATGGGACTTACTATCTATCCAAATACAATCCATAATTATCTTATCACTTTTGGTTAATAAAAAATTGTATAAAAGGATATTCACTACCACCATTACAACTCATCATTCACGAGTTCAGAGAAAAAAAAATACAGAGAATACTTTTTCATCGCATATACAATATAATGCTTCCAGGCTGGAATACACTTGATTCCGTTAACAAAAGAAACAAACCTTTTTTGCGTCTGAGAGCAGTCCGCATTATTGAAACCCATCACGAACGGGAGAGCTGTAACGCATTTTCATGATGAACATGTAATATTAACTTTGTTATTTCAATTTTATATAATTTAGAAAATTATTTTAATTAATATTTATAAATTTGTATTAGGGTGCTTTCATTATATGCATAATACGTTATCCGAATATGAGAGCAACAAACTTTATATAAACTGAGAGCAGTCTAATTTTTGTAAAATATGTAACTTTAAACGTGTTTTTATATATAAAATTGTACATACTTTTAAACATGTTAGTTGGACAAATTTTAAGGATATATATGTGTGTGTATGCTAACTTTAAGTATATATATTTTTCTTATAAAATAGTCTAGACAAAATTGAGGTAATTTCACATTTTTCAATAATAATATAAAATATTTTAATACTTTCACATATGTTATATAATAGTCTACGTATTCTTAATGTCTTTTGGTTGTAACATTGTTAACACATATAATATTAGATACTTTTAAACATATTTAGATAATTTTTTTACTCATTCTTTAATATCTATGTGCATAAAAAAGAGAATAAGATTTATAAAAGATTTTCCGGCAATATACTAAATGTTAGATAAAAAATCTCATTTTATTTGTTATATAATATTTCGAGTTGCATTAATTTTGATTTGTATGTGTAAAATTGATAAATTAAGCGTATGAAAAGGAGCGTACGAATTACTGTAAGGATTTAAAAAATAAAAAATAAATTTAATTTTTGAATATTCTCTACTAACTTCTAAACGAATTTATGTCATAATTCGTCATAATTTTCCCACATCATGTCAATATTTATTTTATATATACTAGGTAAAAGGTAAATACAATACATAATTATCTTATCACTTTTGGTTAATAAAAAATATGTGAAATTGATTGTCCGTTGCAAAAATCATGGGACTTACTATCTATCCAAATACAATTCATAATTATCTTATCACTTTTGGTTAATAAAAAATTGTATAAAAGTATATTAACTACCACCATTACAACTCATCATTCACGAGTTCAGAGAAAAAAAATACAGAGAATTTTTAATCGCATATACAATATAATGCTTCCAGGTTGGGTACACTTGATTCCCGTTAACAAAAGAAACAACTTTTTTTTGCGTCTGAGAGCAGTCCACATTATTGAAACCCATCACGAACGGGAGAGCTGTAACGCATTTTCACGATGAACAGGTAATATTTTCCTTTGTTATTTCAATTTTATATAATTTAGAAAATTATTTTAATTAATATTTATAAATTTGTATCGTAGGGTGCTTTCATTATATGCATAATACGTTATCCGAATATGAGAGCAACAAACTTTATATAAACTGAGAGCAGTCTAATTTTTGTAAAATATGTAAACTTTAAACGTGTTTTTATATATAAAATTGTATATACTTTTAAACATGTTAGTTGGGCAAATTTTAAGGATATATATGTGTGTATGCTAACTTTAAGTATATATATTTTTCTTATAAAATAGTCTAGACAAAATTGAGGTAATTTCACATTTTTCAATAATAATATAAAATATTTTAATACTTTCACATATGTTATATAATAGTCTACGTATTCTTAATGTCTTTTGGTTGTAACATTGTTAACACATATAATATTAGATAGTTTTAAACATATTTAGATAATTTTTTTACTCATTATTTAATATCTATGTGCATATAAAAAGAATAAGATTTATAAAAGATTTTCCGGCAATATACTAAATGTTAGATAAAAAATCTCATTTTATTTGTTATATAATATTTCGAGTTGCATTAATTTTGATTTGTATGTGTAAAATTGATAAATTAAGCGTATGAAAATGAGCGTACGAATTACTATAAGGATTTAAAAAATAAAAAATAAATCTGATTTTTGAATATTTTCTACTAACTTCTAAACGAATTTATGTCATAATTCGTCATAATTTTCCTACATCATGTCAATATTTATTTTATATATACTAGGTAAAAGGTAAATCATTATCTCAATATTTATTCTATATATTCTAAGTAAATCTTCTCATCTATCTCAATGGTCTGCAGGTAGTATTTCATACTTTTCTATTCATAATCAAATATATCAAAGCTTCACAAATTTTACTTCACAAAGAAAGTGTTCAATAATTTATATTTTTTTTTCTTCTTTGCAATCCATTTATTTTTGTTACATATATATAAATTATATTATTTTTAATATTTCACACGTTAAACATTTCAGGAAAATATACCATCCCGTGCATCGCACGGGCTACGCGCTAGTTAATGAAGAAGAGGGAGATCATTATTCATTGTTGCTCCAAATAAAAATTAATAATAATCTCTGATCATCTCTTTGTTTAATAATCAGAAAAAAAAAACAAGATTATCTTACCATCATGAACACAAAAAGCACAAAAACAGTTGCACAAAAATATAATTGGTAATTAACCACAAAAAAATCGACTTAGATTTTTTATCCTCATCAAATCATTAAAAATAGCCACAAATACAACGGTCCACCAACAAGTACATCATCTCCTCATTCATTACCCACTAGTGCGTGGCCTGTGCGATGCACGGAAAAACAATATTACGATTGTATTATAAATTAAATATATAAATAACATTAATTATGATTTATCCACTGTTTTTAAATTAGACCGGGTTGGACACAGTCCGACCGGATGGACCGAGAATCGGTTTATAACCAGTCTAGTTCGCTGGAATAAAATATTTGCTCTTGAATCCTTCAACACCAGTCGGTTGGACTGGTAGGATCGATTTTCTAAATAAATTTTGTTATATTTAAAATTATTTTAAATAAAATTACATATTTAAATAAAATAGAGATTTATAAATTATTTATCAATTAGTTTAAACATTTGAATTTATAAATTGTTTAGATATCTAAGTAACACATTTATTTAAATTTATTACAAAAAGTACTATATATATATATTAAAATGTTTATAAATTAAAATATGGACAAATCACAAGTGATTTAATAAAATAATTTGATCGTTTTGATGACGGTCCAGTTCTGAAAACCTTATATTTACTGTATATTGATAAATATTATAATAAAATATTATTTAATTCACATAAATATTAATAAAATGATATCTAAATATTCATAAATCAATAAACATGTTGTAATAAAAGTATTGTTAATACGATTATTTGAAGTTTGGACTACATCACATTCATGTAATAAAATATTTTTAATATAAAATTTATATTTAGGTTCAATAATCAATTTTGTGTGGTCGAACAAATACATAACTTAGTCACCTGGGACCAACCAAGTTGTGTCAAGTTTTTTTGACTATTTTAAATATCACCTAAAAGTAATTCAATCAACCTGGGCAGTACCCTAGTTCAATCACCCGATTGATCCGAAGAAATTTTCTTATTTTCTTTACATATTTTTAATTTTATGAAATAAAAATATTTTATGATTCATATAATAAATGTCTACACCAAATGATAGTATATTAAGATTATAAATTATATATCTAAAGATGAATAAATTATTTTTACTTTATGCATATTAATACAAAATAAACATAGTAATTTTCAAAAAATTAAGATTAATTGATTGATTATTCAATTTAAATAATATTTTTAGCGTTCAATATTTTTTTTAAAGGCACAAATATAAAGACTGAGATTTTAAAATTTTTGTTATATTTTGAATTGAGATTTTATAAATATAAAAATCGAGATTTTAATGTTGTTCATTATTTCTAAGAAAAAAATAAAAATAAAAACTTACACACTTCATATATCTTTGCCGAATTTTTTAAATAATAAAATGAATTAAAGCCCAAAATTTAAGGTAGCATTTAATATTGTATGATTTTTAAAGAAAAAATAAGAAAAATAATGAAACTTACTATTTATAGGCTGCATTAAATTTTGAACTTTTTTTTTGCTACTATTTTTGGTAAATGTTAATTCTTATTATATATATATAGATGTTCAAAAAAAATAAATAAATATACAGAGGAAGAGTATGGTGGAAAAATAAAATAAAAATAAAAAAGAAATTCATTCGCATCACTCGTGCACCATCCTGATAGTCTCAATTTGACCGAACAGCTCATAGATAAATACATCCGCCCTCTCCACTATGAGGCCGGCATCGTCCCGTGCACCATCATAATTCTTCCTCTTGTATGAAAGCGGCATGACGACCTATTTCCTGTTCTCCCCTTACTGTGGATTCAGAAAAAGCAACACGAATTGCAACCACATGCTTCTTCCTCCATTCGATATTTCGTTTAAGGATTCAAGCGGGAGTATTTCAGAAATATAGGAATTGCACAATGACTGCCAAAAAGATAAACAAAAAATTTTCAGAAAATATGCAAAGTTTAAATTCAAATAAATTTAATTTTTCCTCCAATTTTGTTTACTTTGGGTCCGTTGGACCTCCTCAACAGAGGTAACAAAATAATTGTATATGTCATGAAAAAGATTGTAGATATCGGTGTACGGCGGTGTACTCGGACTAACTTGATTCAAAAAATTTTTATCTGCTGCTCGAGTTAAAACCATACAAATCTAAGAATAAGAAAAAAGATTGAAAAAAAAATACTAAATCTTGCCGAAAAGAGAAGAACAATATGAAAATGGATTTGCAGCTTTTTGCAATAATAATAACTGTTAGAATAATATGAAAAGTGTCAGTTACAAAATTAAAAAATTTAAAACAAATAAAAAACTGCCTCACAAATTAAACCTACATACGTCCATTAAAAAGGTATATCGGTAAAAGAACGGAGTAATTTTGTCTAATTAGTGAATAAGTATAGGAATGTAAAATGTTTAAGGAGTGAGAAAGAGGGTGTCATTATTTCTTTACGTGACTATTATTGAGGCCCAATAACACGACCGTCTGAAATGGGTCTGCCTCGTCACCTCCGCAACGTAGCCCATACCCACAGTGGCACACTCGTAAATATCACTCTTTTTTTCCACTAAATATATATCCTCCTCTACAACCATTGTAATTCACAGTCGGCTCAAAACCCTAGAGCCATCATTTTCCTCATAATCCCAAATATCCCGAAATGGCCGCCGCCGCCGCCGCCGCCGCCCGCCCCCTCGTCTCCGTCCAGCCGCTGGAGAACGACATGGCCACCGATGGAGGCGCCGCCGGCGTCAACTCCGTGGCCCTCCCTGACGTGCCATCTGCCCCGACATCGTGATCTTCGTCCATGGCCAGTTCTCCAACAACGCCCGCCAGCCCTACGCCGTCTCCAGACACGCCGGCGAGCTGACCTCCGCCGAGTCCTGGGGAACCGGCCGCCCCGTCTCCCGTATTCCCCGCGTCCCCGGCCAGGGAGCCTTCGGGAACATGTGTCGCGACGGGAGGATGTTCGCGCCGACCAAGATCTGGCGCCGCTGGCACAGGGCCGTCAAAAGACAGTGATAGTCATAGATAATGACTTGTGGTAATTAGAGTGTTGGGGTGAAGTTAGAGAGTTGGTGTGAATTGGAGGTTTAATTCGAATCCCCAATTTTAATTTTATTGTTAAGCAGCGGTTTCAAAACGCTTGTGAATTCAAAGGCTAATTCAAAAAATTCAACATATGACCTTTTTTGGAATAGCAAAGATAATGTTAGTTAGTTGTACATATCAATTAGTTATTTACTAAAGTACTACGTATAAATAGGTGTTCCAATCAAATAGCCAATGTTACTATCGAAGCCCTAACATTGTCCTCTGCATCTTCTTCCTTTGACATTTTAACTACTACGTCTTTTCATGTCGTACTCAAAATGCCATTCATGTCGTACTCAAAATGCCAATGTGTCTAATAGCATCTATAATGGGTAAAGTTTATAAACCTTACTTTTACATTCTCAATACTCCACGTTATCTAAACTTCATTCTTCCTCCCATAATCATAAATCTCACATACCTTCTTTTAGTGGGCCCTATGTTTTTCACTTACTTTAATTTATTTATCAATTTAATTCATATTTACTAAAAACACTACTCATAATTTTTTACAATAACATATTTATTATTAGACCTGTCAAAACGGACCCGCGGGCTGGGCCGGCCCGTACCCCGCCAAAGTCCGCCAATTGGCGGGGCGGGCCTACAATATGCAGGCCCAACCCGCCCTCTCGTCAGGCCGCGGGTTTGGTGGGCCTGGCCCGCCAATTCTGTTTTTTTTATTATTTTTTTAACTTAAAAACCTGTTTTAATTTATCGAAATCTATTTGGCTGAAAATTGGAACTGTAGTGGGGTGGGATCCAATTGACGCAATTATTTAAATGGATCTACAATTGCCGCAATTAGTGGGTGGAAAAACTGATGGTGCTCTTCAATTTCTTACTCCAAAATCACTCTTTAATTTGCATTCAATTTTCTTCAATTCTTCTTATGGTGCTCGGGGGAGGCGGAAATAGACATGGGAGCGGGTTCCCTTGCCGCCACGAACGCATGTACGGTCTTGCACCAGACGTCCCAGGCGAGACTCGTGGCCAAGATCGCTGCTACCACCACCACGGTGAGGATGAGGACCGAGGTTCCGTCGAAGCTTCAGCCAGCCCATAGACCTTCATCGCGGTGATGACCGCCTGGTAGAGCGACGTTAAATTTCTGGCTACCGCACTGGAGATCGCCATCATCTGGTGGAAAGCGGCGGGGTGGAGAAAACTAGGGTTCATCGTGTTGAAATGGAACATATGGACATTTACCTCTTTTATATTTTTTATTTTTTTTAATAATTGGCGGGCCAGCCCGCGGGCTAACCCGCCCCGCCCCGCCTTAGCTAGCGGCCTGCGTGGGCTGGCCCATTTAGGCCCGCTCTCCTGCGGGCCTAGAAAATCTCAACCCAACCCGCCCCTTTTGCGGGGCAGGCCGGCCATATTGACAGCTCTATTTATTATGTATCATAATAAATATATTTTACGTACAATTAAAATTAAAAAAAATAGCAAAATTAAAAGTTTAGTAAAATTAGTAAAGATATTACGCATTTGAAAATAGCAAAATAGCAAAAATATTACGCATTTGAAAAAAATATTACACATTTCATATTTTAAAAGTATTAGTAAAATTAAAATAATTGCAACTCATTCTTATTTCAAATATAGTATTACGCATTTAATACCTCGTTTTTTTTTTCGACAACAATTGCAACTCGTTCTTATTTAAAATAATTGCTTTCGTTTTTTCTTTTCGGACTTTTTTTAATCGAACAATCTCGTTTTACCTTTTTATTTAATGAGCAATGTTTGTTGAAGTTCGTTCTTCTTCGAAGAAATATAGTGTAGATCAATTATTTTATTACTTATAGTTAAGTTATTTTATTAGTACTAACATTTAAAATATTTTATTTTATTATTTGTTAAAATTAATAGCTAAATCAATTATACATATGTTATTTAATTCTCAATATTTTATTGAAAAAGATGGACAAGAATATAGTATAGATCAAATTTTAGTTTACAAAATTTGGTAAATAAATGAGCAGAATCTCACGATCCAACGCCAAATATCTATTCTATCAATTCCACAATGGATATTAGGCGTTGGATCGTGAAATTATGGCACCATATGATGCCCATATGGGCACCATAGAATTTCTGATAAATGAGTGATGACTTTTAAATGTGGGCATGGGCAAATTTAGGTGTATTAGTAGGGGGGCAATTGCCCCCCTCAAATTTTAATTTTTTATACTATTAATATTAAAAATTTTAATTTATCCCTCTTTTAAATTTATTTTTGCACCCCCAAATTTTTTACTTTTAAGCGTTATTCACCAGGCCAACTTGTCTAGAATTGTCAATTAACAATTCAACACTTCTTTTATTTAACTATTAATTTTGTATATTAATTATTACTATTCGAACAATTTTAACTGACCCATATAAAATATTTCAACTCTCTTTTATTGCCCAGGCTAGGGCATATATTTTTGACTGAAAACTTAAAATCGAACCGAACCGAACCGAACCAATGATAAAATAAACCGAATCGAACCGACTTATGTGTAACGTTAACCGAAAATCGGTTACCGAAATGTTATCAGTTCGGTATCGGTTTTGAACACATTATGTCATGTTTTTTGCCCCCTCGCAACTAATTTTCTAGTTTCGCCGATGAATGTGGGCCAATACTAGTCACACCAATTCATGCGCGTGAGTTACATTTAAATTGATTTTGGCTTTGAAAAATATGCTTGTACTACATTTGCTCCCAGTTGCTTACATTTCTTTTTATTTTTTTATTTAATTCTATAGTTCTATGTTTGCAACACGGGGTTAAGAAATCAAACCTACACCCTCACCTTTCTAGTGGTAAAAGCTATCAGCGTGGCTTTTCCAAACATCATGAAACGAGCCCGTTAAAGTTGCTCTAAGGCGTGCTTGTTTATCAAATATTTCATTCAAAATAAGTTATTTTAGTTAACTAGAGTTAATTTTGAAAAATGTAGTATGGTTAATTGTTAGTGGAATTTTAATAATATATTAAAATAATATTTAAAATAAAATGATTATTAATGATTTGATGTAAAAGTAGGATATAAATAATTGAAAATGATTGGAAATGATAGGTAGTTAAAATTATGTGAGTGGATGAATAATGAATTAAAGTTGATGTGATATATAAGAATGATTGGTTTATAATATTTAATTATATAAATAATATAAATGATAGTGGAGTTGAATTAAAGTTGAGTTAGATTTTGAGTGTGAAATGAACTATTTCATAAACAAGCATGCCCTGAGCCATTCTACAACATTACAGTCTTTTCGTGGCGTACTCAAGATGCCAATGTGCCTAAGTCCAGGGACGGATCCATAAATTAAGAATAGACTGAGCTAGAACTAATATTTTTTCTTTAAATATTCACTGAAAACGAGCTTTTACAGAGTAAAATTCATCAATAATAAAATATATACTTATACTAACCATCCCCAAAGGCCAAACTTATTACGAAGTGTTATCTTCACACCGATAAATTGATTTTCCATGTGACATAGTTACTAGCAAAATATAATGACATAGTTATTAGCAAAATGAAATGCTTAGACATTATAAATTTTAGCAAAATGAAATGATTACACATCATAAATTTAAATCCAAATATGATATACAACAACCACACTAGAGGATAAGTGATGAAAAAAAAAGAAACACACAATTACTACTCTATACACAATCAACAAAATTAAAATTGCAATCAAATGATCCTAGCAATTATTATTAAAACTCTAAATAGATCAACTAAAATGAAAAGATAAGTAAATACAGTTAGACAAATAGAACAAATATCTAAATTCTAAAAGGGTTTTAAAAATATAACTTACCCTTAAAAAGTAATTAAATTGTTTTCAAGGCATATAGATGGGGCTACAGTGGTTGAATTTGTTGTTCAGTTCTTCTAAATTTGTTATTCAGAGGTTGAATTTGTTGTTCAGTTCTTCTAAATTTGTTATTCAGACTTTACATAGGGACATGGACCGGGTGAATTTTTTGATTAGTGTTTGTGTATTGTGGTGTTTTGTAATTTGTGGGTTAGTGGAATAGATGGTCCACCTATATAATATTTTATTAGAGAATAGAGAGTAGTGTTTGGGCTTATTATGAGTTATTTTGGTGGACTTATGTAATGGTTTAAGGGGTGGGCTAGGGATAGAATTAAAGAAAAATCCAACCTTAATAGTTGTGAAAAAAAAGTTATGTGGCCTGGACTTCAGCCCAACCCAGGCCAATAGTAAATTCGTCCGTGCCTAAGTCATTCTCCAACATTACAGACTTAAAGGGTAGCTCACTTTTTTGTGGCATAAAATATCATACATATCATCATCAACTATAAAAATATTAAAAGGAAGCGCACCATAATAAGTCCAAAATTCCAAATAAAAGGAAGGGAAGGAGAAGAATTAAAAGAAGCAGAACTAAGTGGTGCACCTATATTGACCTGTAGTAGGACTGTAAACAAGTTAAAGCTTAAGCTCTTGATACTCGAGCTCGAAATTTTACAGAGTCGAGCCGAGCTAAGCTTCAGAGAGGTCCTCGTGAGATCCCACAAACTTATAGGATATCCCATACATTTGGTGTTAAGTTGACTTAGGAATTCATGATAAACTTACCAAAGTTGTAGGAGCCCGCATGATCTCTTCTGAATAGAGAGAGTAATTCAATAAACAGGTAGAATACCACTCCAATTATCGAACATGTTGAGATAACCAAGAGGCCAAAAACCTCTCTATGAAATCTTCATGCCCCTGCCAAAAAGGCCTCACCAAGTCTAAAGACTGTTCATCTAGGCTTTATCCTTATTAGCAATATATGACTAGTCTTCTCTCATATATAGCTACCCTCTTCTCAGGGGTAAGGATCGCTATGAGTGTATAAGGATAACCAGTGACACTTCATCACTCGGGAAAGGACAGGGAAGGCCTCTACTCATATCCACCTTGGATAGAATTCGGATGTTGGCTCCTCGCAATATGAAAGTATTAGATATTCAATACAACATTAGCGATTCGAGCATGAGTCTTATTAAGCCAAGTCGAACCTTAACGAGTTGTGCAAATAAAAAGTTAAATAATATTTCATTTTTCAAGATGAGCTTCAAACGAGTCTGAGTTTTGGTCGTTTATCTAATGAACTAAATCGAGCTCGAATCTTAACAAGTCGAGTCAAACCGAATTCACGAATTTGTTTCATGTAACAGCTACATACTACATGAAGCATGCAGTCCGATGAATTCTCCATGTTGTGGCCTAATCTAAAGTTTAGGAAATTAGAAGGGTAATCTATAGTTTAGGAAATTAGGAAATTAAAAAAGAAAAATAAAATCTGTAGGTGGAGTCATTTCGTCTTTATTTCCCGTATGTGACTATTGTAGAGGTCCAATAACACGACCGTCTCAAATGGGCCTACCTCATCACCTCCGCAACGTAACCCATACCCATAGTGGCACACTCGTAAATATCACTCTTTTTTTCCACTATATATATACCCTCCTCTTTACAACCCTTGTAATTCAGAGTCAGCTCAAAACCCTAGAGCCATCATTTCCCCATAACCCCAAATATCCCGAAATGGCCGCCGCCGCCGCCCGTCCCCTCGTCTCCGTCCAGCCGCTGGAGAACGACATGCCCACCGATGGAGGCGCCGCCGGCGTCAACTCCGTGCCCCTCCCCGACGTGATGAAGGCTGCCATCCGCCCCGACATCGTGACCTTCGTCCACGGCCAGATCTCCAACAACGCCCGCCAGCCCTACGCAGTCTCCAGACGCGCCGGTCACCAGACCTCCGCCGAGTCCTGGGGAACCGGCCGCGCTGTCTCCCGTATCCCCCGCGTCCCCGGCGGCGGCACCCACCGCGCCGGCCAGGGAGCCTTCGGGAACATGTGCCGTGGCGGGAGGATGTTCGCGCCGACCAAGATCTGGCGCCGCTGGCACAGGGCCGTCAACGTCACCCAGAAGCGCCACGCAGTTGTCTCCGCCATTGCCGCGTCTGCCGTCCCCTCGCTTGTGTTTGCCCGCGGGCACAGGATTGAGGAGGTTCCCGAGCTTCCCCTCGTCATCTCCGATGCTGCTGAGGCTGCGGAGAAGACTAGCGCCGCCGTGAAAATCCTCAAGCAGGTTGGTGCGTTCCCTGATGCCGAGAAGGCCAAAGACAGCCACTCAATCCGCCCTGGAAAGGGGAAAATGCGGAACCGCCGCTACATATCCAGGAAAGGGCCGCTCGTGGTTTATGGAACTGAGGGAGCAAAACTCGTCAAGGCTTTCCGCAACATCCCAGGTGTTGAGGTTGCCCACGTCTCCCGCCTGAACCTTCTCAAGCTTGCCCCTGGTGGCCATCTTGGGAGGTTCATCATCTGGACCAAGTCTGCCTTTGAGAAGCTCGACGAGATTTATGGAACTTTTGATAAGCTCTCTGAGAAGAAGAAGGGTTATGTTCTGCCAAGGACCAAGATGGTCAATGCTGACTTGGCCAGGATCATCAACTCCGATGAGGTGCAGTCTGTGGTGAAGCCGATCAAGAAGGAGACTAAGAGGGCCCCCCTGAAGAAGAACCCATTGAAGAATCTGAATGTGATGCTGAAGCTCAATCCTTATGCTAAGGCTGCCAAGAGGATGGCACTTCTGGCTGAGGCAGAGAGGGTTAAGGCTAAGAAGGAGAAGCTTGATAAGAAGAGGAATCAGACCACTAAGGTACTTGTGTCCTTGAATTTCCTTTATTGTCGTGATCGTGCTGCTTACTCAAAATTAGTTGCTTTTTGTTCATATATGTTATCTGTATTGTCATTATGCTGAAGTTACTTTCTATTAGAGTCTTAGGCCATCTCCAGCCCTTATCTCTACTCTAGCGCGGAGTTTACTCTACTCTATCTCTACATTTTACTCTACATTAAATATATTATTTTTTTATTCATTTTTTATTTCAATTAAATTGGTATATATGTATATTTAATCTTATATAAAATGTTAATTACTCATATTTTCAAAATATATTTTATTTATTTTTATTTCGAATAATTTGCTGTATATATAAATATGTAATATTATATAAATGTTTATTACCCAAATAGTAATAAAAATTAGTGAAAATTTACACACTAGATCATATATGGTTTAGATCATATATGGTTTAGAGCATATATTCACATTTTAAAAATGATTGTAATAAATTGAATTTCTTAAAGAAGCTACATATACATCTATGTACCGATTGAATCAAATCTATGTACCGATTGAATCAAAACTGTTACTTTTGAAAATATATGAATTAGTGCAAATTTACACACTAGACCATATATGGTTTAGACCATATATGTGGATAAGGAAATCTACAACTTAATTTTAATTAAATAAACTTGTTTGAATGTGTTAAATTTTTATTCATATGGTATCATTTTAATATTAAAATATTTTCCTATAAAATTATAATACATCAATAAATAAAAAACACAAAATTATTTAGCATAAAAAATACGTTGCACAAATTATTTAGCATAAAAAATACATTTACTAATACACATTATACAAAAATTTACCAATAATAATACACACACAAAAAAATAAAATAAAATAAAATTGTAGAGTTGAGCTACAGTGTTGCGCCAGATGTGGCGCAACACTGTTCCCAACTCCTTTCTGGCGCAGAAGTCTAGCGCAGCAGTGGAGGAGATTTTCACACAACTCCAGCGCAAGAAGCCAAATCTGGCGCTGCGCTGGAGACGCTCTTAGTACTTTATTTTGTTTATATGTACTGAGTTATTTTAATGAAAAACAATTTTTTATCAATACAGCACAGTTGTGTGTATCATTGGTTTATCATTAATATGCTGTATATCAGTTCATAATACTTGGTATTCCATGGGCATGAGTTGTTACTGAAGTTAGTGGCCGGTGAGGATTATTTTGATTTGAATGTTTGTTTTTTAGTTGCTGGGCATATTGTTTTGAATGCAGTTAGTTGCTTTCTACTGATAAATTTTTTCTTGGCTGTTCTTTGTTCGGTTTCTTCTTTCTTGCTCCTTGTAGGAGGAGACATCAACAATTAAATCTGCTGGCAAGGCCTGGTACAAGACTATGATCTCAGATAGTGACTACACAGAATTTGAGAACTTCTCAAAGTGGTTGGGTGTGTCTCAGTGATTTTGAGTT